TGCTCATTAAGTGTTCTCTGTCTGGATATGTTCATGTGTTCACGTCTTCACATAGTGGGTGAGACAGCAGATGCTTTAAAAACCATGAGCATCATGCGTACTTGAGTGTGTACTAGATCTACTAGACGAAACGGCGCTGCTCATTCATACAGAGACACGCTGAATATAGAATTAAGGGGGTCGCACACCAGTCTTTTTGCGCTGTATATTCACAGACACGCACATCGCGATTTGATTTACTGCACAGCTATATTTTGATTTATTCATCCATCTAGTATCTATCAAATCACACATTTTACGTGGCATCTGTATTGTAACGCAAAAAGACTGGTGTGCGTCTTTTTGACAGGCCGGGATTCCCTCAGCATGACAGAAATAATATGGCCTTAAGTTATAAAAGTTATGAATTACCTTTATCTTCACGGAGGGATGGTGTTCCCGAATATGGGAGAACATGTTCGACGTGTTTCCTCCCTTTGCAGCCACTCTTCGTCCACATATCTTGCAAACTGGATATCCATCTTCAAGGACAACACCACGATCGTTTTTCGGATATCCAAAATATTCCCATGCTGCAGATTAAAAAAAAATTTCGGCGGGAGATAGAGATTCGGACATTTTCAGCGCTGTACAGGTAGGCCTATGGGTGGAGTCTAAGCAGTCAAGCTGAAAGAAGTTGCATGCGGCAGTGCGGGTGAATTCTGGTTTAATTTTTTTTTTTTTTTTTTTTTTTTTTAAACCGCGGATAAGCAAATGTGCACGATATGATAATCGTACATGTCAATATCGCAATAAACCGCCATACCGGTATACCGTTACAACCCTAGTTGGAAGTCGAAGTAATCACGCCGGTATGGAGACGAGTTGTTGAGGATCAGTGTCGATGGCTGTCGTGTCGATGAGGCCTTCACAGGGCTGATGAGGCTGGCACTTCAGGATGAGTTGGGATGGGTCCAGGCGCAGGTCCACCATAGAGGGTCCCTCGGGATAAACAGAGAGACTAATAGCGTAGACGCCATCCTTCTTATGATGTACCAAGTACATCAGGATTTACGGGACGTGTTCCCGGTTCCGGCTGATCTAAGCTATGCAGCCTAATTTTGAATTAAGGAAGTCTATAGTGTGTTATGTGTATGCTAGGCCAAAGAGATGTGTTTTTAGTCTAGATTTGAACTGACAGAGTGGCTCGTCCTGATTTTGCCAAGTGGGAGCTGTCCTGAGACCAATATCTTTATGATGACCCTGGGACAACAAGTGCCTCAGCCAATCAACGTTTATGATGTCATCACCGTGTGCCCCCCCGTCGAGTCCGCCAAATTAAAAAAAACAAAAAAAAAAACACACCCTTGCCAACAAGTGCACAAGTTACAAGGTAAGACCAACGGCTTTTTACATTCTCCTATTAATTAACAGCAGTCTTTTACTACGACTAAACATATTTGTTTTTTGAAATAACGTTAGCATTTTCCCACCATTGAAGTAATATAACGCTATAACGCATATGTTGACGTGCTTAAGAGTAAAATTGCCAGCCAAAATTGATCAGCATCGCTGACGTTCTGGCTCAAAAAATAAAAACAATAGAAGATGAAAATACTGTTTAGATGTTTAACGTATAGTTTTTATAGTGTGCCTAGCTACAAAAAAAAAAGACGACTCAGGGACAAACGTTTGAATTAGCTTATTTCTGATGTTGTCCTCAGACCATCATATGAATATGTTGACCTCAAGTCATCACTGATTTATTCTGTTACATGATGTTGTCCTCAGACCATCATATGAATATGTTGACCTCAAGTCATCACTGATTTATTCTGTTACATGACGTTGTCATCAGACCATCATATGAATATGTTGACCTCAAGTCATCACTGATTTATTCTGTTACATGATGTTGTCCTCAGACCATCATATTAATATGTTGCCCTCAAGTCATCACTGATTTATTGTTACATGATGTTGTCCTCAGACCATCATATGAATATGTTGACCTCAAGTCATCACTGATTTATTGTTACATGATGTTGTCCTCAGACCATCATATTAATATGTTGCCCTCAAGTCATCACTGATTTATTCTGTTACATGATGTTGTCCTCAGACCATCATATTAATATGTTAACCTCACGTCATCACTGATTTATTGTTACATGACGTTGTCCTCAGACCATAATATTAATATGTTGACCTCAAGTCATCACTGATTTATTCTGTTACATGACGTTGTCCTCAGACCATCATATTAATATGTTGACCTCAAGTCATCACTGATTTATTCTGTTACATGATGTTGTCCTCAGACCATCATATGAATATGTTGACCTCAAGTCATCACTGATTTATTCTGTTCCATGACGTTGTCATCAGACCATCATATGAATATGTTGACCTCAAGTCATCACTGATTTATTCTGTTACATGATGTTGTCCTCAGACCATCATATTAATATGTTGCCCTCAAGTCATCACTGATTTATTGTTACATGATGTTGTCCTCAGACCATCATATGAATATGTTGACCTCAAGTCATCACTGATTTATTGTTACATGATGTTGTCCTCAGACCATCATATTAATATGTTGCCCTCAAGTCATCACTGATTTATTCTGTTACATGATGTTGTCCTCAGACCATCATATTAATATGTTGACCTCAAGTCATCACTGATTTATTCTGTTACATGACATTGTCCTCAGACCATCATATTAATATGTTGACCTCAAGTCATCACTGATTTATTCTGTTACATGACGTTGTCCTCAGACCATCATATTAATATGTTGACCTCAAGTCATCACTGATTTATTCTGTTACATGATGTTGTCCTCAGACCATCATATGAATATGTTAACCTCAAGTCATCACTGATTTATTCTGTTACATGACGTTGTCCTCAGACCATCATATGAATATGTTAACCTCAAGTCATCACTGTTTTATTCTGTTACATGATGTTGTCCTCAGACCATCATATGAATATGTTGACCTCAAGTCATCACTGATTTATTCTGTTACATGACGTTGTCATCAGACCATCATATGAATATGTTGACCTCAAGTCATCACTGATTTATTCTGTTACATGACGTTGTCATCAGACCATCATATTAATATGTTAACCTCAAGTCATCACTGATTTATTCTGTTACATGACGTTGTCCTCAGACCATCATATTAATATGTTGACCTCAAGTCATCACTGATTTATTCTGTAACATGATGTTGTCCTCAGACCATCATATGAATATGTTGACCTCAAGTCATCACTGATTTATTCTGTTACATGACGTTGTCCTCAGACCATCATATTAATATGTTGACCTCAAGTCATCACTGATTTATTCTGTTACATGATGTTGTCCTCAGACCATCATATGAATATGTTGACCTCAAGTCATCACTGATTTATTCTGTTACATGACGTTGTCATCAGACCATCATATTAATATGTTAACCTCAAGTCATCACTGATTTATTCTGTTACATGACGTTGTCATCAGACCATCATATGAATATGTTGACCTCAAGTCATCACTGATTTATTCTGTTACATGACGTTGTCATCAGACCATCATATGAATATGTTGACCTCAAGTCATCACTGATTTATTCTGTTACATGACGTTGTCATCAGACCATCATATTAATATGTTAACCTCAAGTCATCACTGATTTATTCTGTTACATGACGTTGTCATCAGACCATCATATTAATATGTTAACCTCAAGTCATCACTGATTTATTCTGTTACATGATGTTGTCCTCAGACCATCATATATGTTAACCTCAAGTCATCACTGATTTATTCTGTTACATGATGTTGTCCTCAGACCATCATATATGTTAACCTCAAGTGATCACTGATTTATTCTGTAACATTATGTTGTCCTCAGACCATCATATGAATATGTTAACCTCAAGTCATCACTGATTTATTCTGTAACATGATGTTGTCCTCAGACCATCATATGAAATGATGTTTTATTAACAAAGTTCGGGAGAAGCACGTTCAGATAATTAACACGGGTGGAGTGCACTCAGCAATCATGATTAAAACGTGTATATATAGACTCAGCAGTCTCACCTCATTTCTCTGACAGTTTAGCAGCATCCCTCCACCACCCCTTCTCCACTCTTCTAGTTCAAAACCACTTTACATACGGGGGGGGAGTACTCTGGGTTCGGGCCGAATTCCGAGCACGGAGCCCTCCCCCCGGACAGCACGCCAAATACGCATTATACTTTATTCCCTTTAATTGTATGTAAGTGTGAACTCGTGAATATGTTGACCTCAAGTCATCACTGATTTATTCTGTTACATGATGTTGTCCTCAGACCATCATATTAATATGTTAACCTCAAGTCATCACTGATTTATTCTGTTACATGATGTTGTCCTCAGACCATCATATGAATATGTTGACCTCAAGTCGTCTCTGATTTATTCTGTAACATTATGTTGTCCTCAGACCATCATATGAATGTTAACTTGTACGTAACATCTTGGTTTTTCTCCATGTTTAAACAAATAGCTTACAGTACTTTCATGAGATTATCATGGATTTTTAGGTCTTTACATTATTTATGTTTTTAGCCTAATTTTTTGTGTCTTTTCTTTTTAGGTTGAACATCAAATATGGAGGAATTTATAAAGACATCTGTATACAAAGAGGAGAGATTTAAAGGAAACAAAAAAGAGACAGATATAACAGTCCATGTTTTAGAAAAGGATTTGGATGCTTTTGAATTTATTCAAGAAAGGCTCTCTACCATAAATGCGTCCAAAGATGCCAACTTCAGGAGTGTGAATTCTGCAAGTCTGCAAAATCAGAAAAATGGATATTTCTTGTTTACATGTAAACGCTCTGGAACATGCACACCCCGAAGTCGAAGGGCCAAAGGATGTAAGGCCTATGTTTCCTTTATAAAGAGGACAGACTGGCTCAACAAACTTGTTATAGTTGAAAGGATTTAAAGGATTCATTCAGGACATGACCCAACAAGTTCTTCTGAGGGTCACTCAGAAAAAATTAGTCAAGAGCTGGTCAAGCATATTCAAGATTTAATATCTCTTGGTGTTAAGCCAGGTACAATTCTCTTAAAATCACACGAATGGTCAAAGGAACAAGGGCATACTGATCTCAACAACCGAGCATATTTTGTTACCCCAAAAGACATTGAAAATATTCGGACATGTATGATGCGAAAAAATCAGCAACACAAAGATGATGCCAATAGTACAACACAACTTCTTGAGGGCGCTTTCAGAGACAGTGTTATTTTTTATCAGCCTTACAGTCCACAAACAGATCTAGTCATAGTTCTACAAACACCATCCATGAGAGACAACCTTCAAGAATATGGAAGAGATATTGTTTTTATTGATGCAACACATGGCGTCAACCAGTATGGCTTTCCTTTATTTACATTAGTTGTCAGGGACAGTCATGGTCATGGCATACCCATTGCCTATATCATCTTGGGAAATGAAAAGCAGGCCATGCTTCAGCTGGCACTGGAAAAGCTGAAACCAACATTTCCTGTAGCTCCAAGGTAATACAAACAGATATACCGGTAAACAAATTAAATGAATATTATTACATAACGTTTTGGTACACAGTTCCTTAAAATTAAACTTTTTATGCATGCCTTTATTTCAGGTTCATTTTTCAATTTATGAATTCAACTTATTTATTTTTTTTCTATGAACCAGAACAAACTTGTATTGATTTCTTAACTGCATTCTATGATTAGCCTACAGTAGGTGTTATCTCCATGTTAACTAATGAACCTTATTGTAAAGTGTTACCTTATTTTCATTAGGTGCTTTATGGTTGATAAAGACCAGGCTGAAATCAATGCTATCCGTAAGGTATTCAACGAGTCACATGTTCTCCTTTGTTGGTACCATGTAACCCAAGTAAGTACTAAGTTAAGATTGAATGGAGACTGCTTTGATTTTTGCTTATTTTGCAATATAAATCTATTATTGTTGTGCTAAAATTTCAATAAAAAACAACAGTTAAATTTTTTGGTTACTGGATGACATGTAAGGTTTAGTGAGAATAATATGAATGGCCTAAAAATGAAGGTCATTTTGTTGTAAATCTTAAACAGTCGTTTGTAACTTAAAGCTGCAAGACTTCTTGTGTCATCCACTTCTAGTTACTTTTAGCTGTACAAAACAGCCTGTTAATGCTACTTGATATTGTAAACTGGTATTTTTTTGCCATATAATTTTAATGTATTGTTGGAATTATAAACATATGGGATTGCTAAAGCAATAACATATTTACATTTTTAATGTGGTTCGAGTTCACTGTAACTGTAGACAATTGTTGCCATCAATTGATCGCAATAATACTAGCCAAATGCATTAGACTATTTGAAGGTCTCACCAGTTTAAATACATAATTTTATATTTCCCCACCATTTATTACACGCAGGCAGTAACTCGTTGGCTGTCAAGATCTGAATCTGGAGTGAGTGGACCTGAAAAGGCAGATTCGAGAGCACACATCATGCAGTTAATGTCGGAGCTGAAATCCTGTTCCACGGTGTGTTACTTTTCATTTGTTTTATAGAGCAATTATAGCTTGTAGTGTTTTTGTTTTTTTCTCAATGGTAGCAAGCAATGTGTGGTCAGTATCTACAAAATGTTATTATTTTAACAGAATAAGAGGGAAAAAGAAAGAATGGAAAAGCGTAGCACCAAACAGTAGTCCACAAACAGATGAATAAACAACTTCTTGCAGAGCGTAGATCCAAGAAAACCAAAAAAATAGGATAAAAGATTTGCCACACTTTATTTGTGACCTCTGGACCATAAAATCCTGTGAGCTTTTTGGCCAGTTTTCGTGCAAGGTGCACGATATTACCACCTACGAAGTTTAATTCCGAGATTGAATGGGGTATCTTATATTACAGGATCATACATTTTTTATTTTAGTTCTGTCCTGAATAAGATATTTCACTTAACAGATATTTACATAAAGTCCTCAACAGAAAATAATAGCAAAATTTATGATAATGACCCCGTTCAAAAGTTTATATAAGTACCCTTGCATTTTTTATGTTATAATATACAAACATAAATTATTTCAGCCTATACTTTGAGGTGGATCATTGTTTTATTTACTGCAAATAGAATCAGTATGTTTGTTTATTCTATTATCATTCATATAGGCCTAAATGGCTTTAGTATAATCAGTCAAGAACATGACATTCTCAGTACACTAACTGCACACACTAGGGTTGAGCTCTATGTCGAGGATTACCTTTATGACCTATAAATTCAGTTCTTACACTAATAACACAAAACAACATCATTTTCCTTGTCCATTTTTACAGGAACATGAATTCAAGAAAAAAGCTGAGATGTTTCACTGCCAGTTTAAGAACTTAAAAGATGTCTGCAAGTACTTTAGGAACCACTGGGAGCCAATTGGTCGTCTGTGGTCTAACTTCGGAAGATGTTATAAGCATGGAGACTCAGAAACAAACAATCTAATAGAACGGTATACGTTTTTATGCATGTTCACCTCATTTATTAGTGGGCTAACTGAAAGCTAGCACGGTGTTTTGCGTATTTTTTAATTTGTTAAAGAGTACATTGTATTTTTTCAAACCTGTTGCTGCTCCTCATTCAACATACTGATCTCTCTGCTTTCATTTCCTTTATAGCTTCTTCCACCGTTTAAAATACCAATTCCTCTGTGGCATCCGGAATCGTAGATTGGATCATTTGATTGATGTGCTACTAAACAAGACTGACACGTACTTTAACATAATACAGGATTTGCAGTCTGCTGGGAGGGTCCATAACCCTCTGGAATGTAAAATGGAGGAAATAAAGAAGTCTGCTCAGAGGATGCTAGACAATAGGGATGCAACGGTACACGGTAAAATCCCGGACCGTTCGGTCAGCCCTGCACGGGACAATCTACCCTCGTGTCCCGCGGGACTTCGGTTTTGCCATTGAGTTCGCGCTGATCCTTTTAGTTTTTGCTTTAAGCCTTGTTTATACTCGACGCGTCCGCACCACTGATCTATATAGAATGACATTATAGTAGTCATAGTAATAGTCATTATATAGATCAGTGGTCCGCACGAGCGCGAGTCTCCACTGAATGCGCGTGCACCTCTTCAAACGGACGAGGCGTTTATACTTGACGCGCTCGCCGTTGTGCTATTCTGTGAAACGACAGGGGGCGACCTGTCGAGGAGTAATTCTCCTCTAAACCACCAGGAATCAGCAGTGAAGAAGTAGTTTGCCGTTTATTAGTAGTTTATTAATTGCTGATTCATAAAAGAGTAATAAATGCAGTAGGTTTATTGTAGCCAACTTTCACTGCATGTAAACTAGTTAAACAATTGAAGCCTGAGTGTTTAAACCTTAATTTCATCAGCAGGGCTTACTTCTGTTATTGTAGGCTTATTTTGTAAATGTAACCAATTACTTTAGACAAGTGCAAACTGGGTGCTTAATGCAAATGTGTTCCTATTCACAAAATGAGAGGCTTTTATGGTCGCCCATCAATGCAAATGTCTCTGTGTATAGAAGGATCATAAACATGCTGGTACAGACGTACCAGTTCGGCCTGATTCGGCTCGAAGTCGTTCATCTTCACAGAAACACAGAAAGATAACCGGTGCATTGGGATTCCATACACATTGATGTTCTTCCTACTGTGACATTCTGTTTATGCTCATAAGAAAAATAAAACATATTTTTGGGATGAAATAGCAGTCTCTTTCTGCACAAAACATGTACCGAAACCGAACCGAGACCATGGCCCAAAAACCGAGGTACGGACCGTACCGTGGGCTATCTGTACCGTTGCACCCCTACTAGACAATGGTTGGGCCACAGCAGTTACTGCAGCTTCAACAGAAACATACGTATACAATGTTCCATCTGAAAATAATCCACATGTAGTTTACTGTGTATGCCCTGCAGAGCAGTTCTGCAATTGTCTCGCTGGTACAAGGGGACATACATGTAAGCATCTCATTTTATTAAGTCTTCTCACTTGTGGTGATGGTGAGACCTTTCCAGATATGGACAGACAACTGCAAGCCCATGCCAACAACTTGATACAAAAGAATAAGTATAGCATTTCTACAAAGCCTCAAAAAACACTAGAGGTTGAAAGCTTATTTGGAAGAGCAGTATCAAAACCATGTATATTGACGAATGTATGTGACTGCTGTACTTTCTCATATCATAAAAAATGTGCTTGTCTACTACTTGCAAAGGGACTTTTAAATGAGATGAATGAGACGACATCAAAACATGCAATTAACATTTCAGTGGAGCCTATACAGAATGAAATTGCAGATGAAGATAGGCGTAGTACAACTATCAGGAAACTGGAAAGCATATTGAAGACTTTACAGACCTGGGAGAGAATTCCTGAGGACATTGCCCATAAAGTCAATGAACTAGAAGTGCAAACAAAGGAAGAAAATATAAACTTTAAAAGATTTGTGCGACTTTGTGATGAGGACAAGTCACGTAAAATACGCCCACTATTTGCAAACAGAAAAAGAAAGACTGACAGAAACACTGCCTCAGAGACGAGGACAGATGTCACATCAAGTTCTCCTATTAAATCAAGAAGAAAACACAAAGCAATCAGTGGTCCAAAAAGATAATACAAATAAGGTTTGAAAAGTACTTTTTATTCAAATGCAGTTTTGCCATTTTATCAAACATTGTACTTGTTCTCCACTATGAGTCCTCCAGTAATCCAGTAAAAGTTACTATAAAACAATTGACTATGAAAATAAAAGCCTTGTCAAATATCAAATAAAGTAATGAACTTTTCTTTTTTGTTTAGAAATAAGCTGATAACAGCCACATTAGAACATGTGTGCAGGAACATGGGTACTGTTCATTTCAAAGAGTCCTCTAAAAAGGAAAAGAAAACCTCAGCTGCTGTAGGCCCAAAGCGGTGGGTGGCCAAATCCAGCTCAGATTCAGGACCAAGGTTTTCCACATTACTTTTCATTTGTTCAATGCTCCTCCTGTAAATAAATTAAAATGTTCATGTTACTACTCGGAATTGTTACTCTGTTGCATCATAGCCATAGCCCCATATTGTTAAAAGCGCTATATAAATGAAGGAAGGTGACCTAGACTTGAGGATAATATGGAATTGCAATATGCATGACATTATCATTCTCATTTTGATTAATTGACCTCTTGATACAGGGACTAGACAGCAGGCTGAAAAAGTTTGTACAATGGTAATGTTAGAATAAAATGCATATTAGGCCAATTAAGTTTAACAAAGGGAAAATAATCTCCAAGAAGATTTTATTTTCTGTCAACCGAACAGTACTAGAACGTCAATGCACCCTACATTTGTACTTTAAGATCTGTCCTGATCCACGCTGCTACCATCATTTCCTAATATGACCTCAGAGGCCAGCAATCCTATCTGGTTGTTAAGTCGTGACTTAACCACTCTCCGATAATACTGTTTCCGGGTCCTCTCTACCTACCTATCGCTTTCGCCGAGTTTTACCATGCTGCAGTGCTGTGTCCCATGTTGTTTAAATAGACCGTTTAAAAAAGCAAGTTACATTCAACTGTCATTTTACTTTTGCTTTCCCTGTGCTGAGAAAGTGAAGAGGATATGGCTGCAGTTGATAAGGTAAGTTAAAAATCTTAAACGAATGAAGAAACTTTCACCGGCAAGGGTGCCTCACTAAAGGAGGACGTGATCGTAAATAAATGAACACGTTCTGCTATTGTTATTGGATCTGGACGTGCGGAGCGCTTGGACCCGGAAGAGGCTAAACGTCACGTGTGACGTCAGACTTAACGACCGGATACACTATATAGCCCCTTTCACACATAGATTCCGAAAAATACACGGATAATGTGACCCGGGATTGTTTGATTTTGGTTCATTCACACTGCCAGGTTTTTCCCGGAATCAACCCGTAAAGACACGTGATATCGATGTGACATGTAATGTCTCCAGCGTCTTAAGTTTGCTTATGAGCTGCGATTTCTCTCGCTAGTGCATTTTTTTCTCTGATTCGATCATAAACTAGCGCATTAAGTACTGTTTCACTAGCTGGCGAACGATCCCAGCTTCAGTGTCATCACTACGACACGCATATTACGGCATTGATTATGGATTTTGTTCACACAGAGCGCATTCCGGGACTGATACCGGCAATGTTACTAGGTCCCCAACCTGGGATCAATCCCGGGTCGTGTTTGCGTTCACACAGGAGGCACTTTGGCAATTTCCCGGGATCAACACGCTGTGTGAAAGGGCTTGTGTGATATGGAGTCAGTGTAGCATAGAAATACATATACAGTCAGAGACCAGAAAGTAGTGATTCGGGGTGTATAAATAAAATGAGGGTGTAGACATCAAGATATTCTAAGACAAGACACCACATACAGGTAGGGGACTTACACAGACACACTTACAGTGTTGCTGGCATGTCCTCTGCGGGTATACCAGCAAGTAGTTTCTCTTTCGGGACATGTTTGGCCAGTGCTATGCCAAACCCCTTGGCTAGGTCTTCCGCCTCTCCCTCTGTTAAAGTGCTGAATATTGTCAGCCTTGTCTTTGCCTTTCTAGGCTGCTGCAGCACATTGGGTGGAACATCTTTTTTGCCAACCTATGTATGAACAAGTACAGTGTCACAGATGCAAAGCATGAGAGCAGGGCTTTCTAAACATCACTGTACCATGCCTATCAATAGCCATGAGGGGCAGAGTGGCAAACTACAAATGGCTTTCTATCTTCTTTTATACTTAAATGTATGCATATAATAGAAATACAAACCCTTATCAACATTCGGAACATGTTTGTGGACATGTTTTCTCCTTTGACCCTCCTCCTCAACTCATCTTCATCTACCTGGTAGCTCTTTCCTTGCGCTGTTAGCCTTCCTAAAACTTTGTAAACTTTCCTTTCTTTTTCCTCCACTCCCTCATCATCCCTATGTCTTTCTTCAATGTGTTGCTCTTCTTCCTTGTCCTCCTCCATTTCTTCCTCACTGCAAATGGCCATAGGTTTTCCTATGGCCTCCAACATGGACATAACAGTCTCTTCTGTTCAAAAAATATGTCAGAATTCATGTCAACATCACAGGTTTACAATGTGGGACAGTCTACAAAAATGTAATTACTAGCTAAACCTTTCTATCAATTGAAGAGGAATGTCACTCCTTTATAAGAATTGACATACATGTTAGTTCTTTCTATGTCCCAGGGCAGAGCAAGTAAACAATACTTGTTTCTTATATATAAACAAACTGAACTCAGACACTCCTTGGTGTTTCAGACATTATCAAACGTACACATCATTGCAGCAAGCTAAACTATATAAAATGTTGAATTAAATTGAATGTACAATTAAATAGAGAAAGTTTATAGAGCTAATAGATTTGGTCAAAATAACTGATTTTTGTTTAAGGTGAATAATGTTGTTAGAAACAGCATAGTTAGGCAACATATATTGTCTTTAAGCTACAGTAAATGAGACGCAGTCTGTATAGACCATATTTGAGAACTAGGGCAAAGTTTGGCTTTGCTTTGACCTGCTTTCTCTTGGCTTTACAGTGCACTGACCAGCATAATCTATGAATGGAATGCTTGAAAAAAAAAAAAAATTGGCTGTCCCAGGTGAAGTGACTATTGTAGTTGAAAGATTTTGTATTTTCAGTCATCAGATTCATTTACATTGTGTCTGTGCCTTAGATTTAATCAACCCTATCTGTGTCTGTAAAGGCGTGAACCCATAGAAACTGATTGGTGTGAATGACAAAGACAGAGTAGATTGCAGGGTAGATCGATCTCCTGTGGGAGGCCCTAACAGTTTTCTATTGTTTGTAGCCCATTTGTCCTCATGTATAAATTTCTGTCTCACAGACAGAACTTTGGGTTAAGATTATTGAAGGGTGAAATGCTAACATCGCTGCTGAAGGACTGCTACACTACAAACCTTC